AATGAGAAATGAAGTGGCAGAAAGTTGCAAATTGAAAAAGTAGTTGATGACGCCGCCGCTGTCGCCACAAATGAAATGCTCACGGCGAGAATGTTTTTCCACAGAACTCCGTTACACCGAGGTAAATAATTAAAGGGGAAGTTGTCGGTGGCAACAAATACATATGTACATATTTCAATTGTGATAAGGCGAAAAACATGCTCTGATTTCATGTCCTTTACTTAATGAGAAGTTGGTGGAGGGGTAAGCGAGGCAATGTCAATTGAGTTGAGTGACACAAGAAGGCAGGTGTTCCTTCTACCGAAATGGTGTCGAAGAAGTATGACTAAACGAAAGCAAATAAATGAAGTCAACAGCAATTTCTCCATTTTCTGCTTACATAAATAAACATGTGAGTATGTTGTGAATTCCATAAGAACTGTGTATGATTCTAGCCTGACATTTTATATAACAAACTATAGGCACTTGTTCAATCAGCAGTCGAGTGCAACACCAATAAATTCTATAGTTTATAAGTAAATTGAGTTCATAGCTGACATTCTTATGCGGTCGTCTTTTAAAAAAAGGACAACGATCAAATACAATCTAATGATTTTTAAAATAAAAGTTGAACATAAACATTTCAAAAATTGCGTTACACTAGTGGTGTTCATAGTTTATGTAAAACTAAGGATTGAGTCCATTAAATATGATGTCAATCAGGTGGTAGGTAATAATTGATAATGAATCAAAATTTATAACATTTTCTTTTAATGATTTTTTAGTATTTCAATTAGATATACATATAAAGAATGACGGAAGTGCAGGCTTATTAAGACTGGCTAATTATGAGGAAATAACACACTCTTTAAATGACAAATAATTTACAGAAAAATTTATTTTATTTAAAAAATATTTCACTGCGTTTTTGATATTTAGCAAACATTTTTTTTGAATTAATTTTTGTGGCCATGGCCTACTTGAATAAATTAACAAGCTTCGTACGAAATCTTTGTAAGTCTCATCTTATAGTAAATTATATTATTAATTACTCCTTATCAGAATTCAAAAATGTTTCATTTATAGTATAGTAGGTATTATGTATATGATGTGTTTCAAGATAAAAAGTTGAGAATTGTTTGCTTACTGAGCGCTCGTTTGTAGTTAAACACTAAAAAAAGACTAGAAAAAACTAACAAAATCCCGAAATATGCGGGTCTTGAGGATAGGAACGATGACATTTTAATGAATTTATATTAAATATGTTGTAAATCATTCCCGTAATAGCCAACGCGATCATTTTACTCTTCGTGAGTGAAGTTTATTCAGAAAAATATCGTTGTTGTAAGTAGCTACAATTCACGCACATCTCTATTTGTATAATCTGCGAAACGATGCACAAATCTTGCAACGTTTTTAGAGGTCCAACCGATACCGTAAATTGCGTCAAGTTCACGTTCTTATAAGCGAAATGGCATAAAATCACAACATGTTAGCACATAAAATGGGAAGCCGGAGGACGAAAGTCAAATATGGGAAATGTTAAAAAGCCGCTTTGGTATTAGGGTGGTGGAGGCATAAAAAGCATTTATAGGAAATATGCTAAAATGAATCTAAGTCCGTCCGTCGTCCTTTCAAAACAAAGCGCAAAAAGTGAACATACTTAATGCCCGAAAAGGTACTTAAACAAGGGTACGGCCAACCACAATGGCTTTCGTCCCGGCTCGATGCTTCTTGCTCCTTAGTGCTTAGTCCTCGCTACTCGGTTTTGGTGTTCATGTAATATCGCCCATATGTTACAATCGCAGCAATAAAACGGCAACAAAGTGCCAAGAAAGTTGCCAGCCAGTGCCACCCACGTTGCAGATTCAATCTGAGCACAGCATTAAGGTCGCGACCATGTGCCCACCCAAATGCTTAAAGGCACAACAAACAAAGCACACACACACACACACACACACATATATATATATATATATTCTCCATAATAACCCCGCACCCTGCACCGCACGTAAATCTTATCAACACTGCATAAAAACGCCTACCGTGCAAATAGATACGAGCAGAGCAACTGCAATTACAAGCCGCCCTGCGTTCTACCCTCGCCCCGGCCAGGGGGTGTGTCAGGCAGACATTACAAAGGCCAGGCTGTCAGTCCGACTGGCAAGTGCAGAGATTAGAGCCAAACCGGGGCTGGGCGCTGGGTGCTGGGCTCGGCTGCAATGAAAGTTAGTGAACGCAATTAAGCATAAATGTGCGGCACAATGAGCGCTTTTTGTCGCGCCCTCGTCCTCTCCATGTGGGTCTCTATGAGTCTGTGGGTTTGTTTTTATTTTTTTTTATTATTCTTGTAATTGAAGAATTCTATGCAGGTTTACACTTTCAGAAGAAATAATGTATGCCCTGTGAAATACTACAACATTTTTCTAAAAACTAATTGCTAATTTTGTAAAGTGTTGTTTTTCGAATTTCCATATAAAGAAGTTTTCCAACTTAATTCGATTATACGTTATATACAAATATAATTGAATCGATTGTAACATGCAATTAAATGGCTATGAATAATAATTTGTAACACTTTGTTGGAAACTCATCTGAATGAAACAACCCTTGATCCTTGAACCCTATTTAAGAAATCGTCGTTAGCTTTGTTTCACTTTTTGCCAAAATTTTTGTCAATAGGTCGACAAATAATAAACGTTGTCCTTTAAGATCTTTCATATATGCTAAATAATTTGCTTATCAATAATGATAATTGGTTAATTAAAAAAAATAATTTTAAATTAAACATTAAATTGTGAGCGAATGAATAAAAATTAAAATTTATAAATCATGCTGAAATGCATATATAATCCTCGTTTTCTCAAAGTTACTATAAGTAAATGATTTTTTGGTAAAAAAAAAAAAATTATAATAATAATCATTATTTGCGGTCCCTGACAAGAACTCTGACGAGAAAAATCTATCTATGTCTGTGTGTCTGATGGGTCTGTGGGTTTGTTTTTATTTTTTTTTATTATTCTTGTAATTGAAGAATTCTATGCAGGTTTACACTTTCAGAAAAAAATAATGAATGCCCTGTGAAATACTACAACATTTTTCTAAAAACCAATTGCTAATTTTGTAAAGTGTTGTTTTTCAAATTTCCATATAAAGAAGTTTTCCAACTTAATTCGATTATACGTTGTATACAAATATAATTGAGTCGATTGCAACATGCTGTAACATGTTGGAAACTCATCTGAATGAAACAACCCTTGATCCTTGAACCCTATTTAAGAAATCGTCGTTAGCTTTGTTTCATTTTTTGCCAAAATTTTTGTCAATAGGTCGACAAATAATAAACGTTGTCCTTTAAGATCTTTCATATATGCTAAATAATTTGCTTATCAATAATGATAATTGGTTAATTAAAAAAAATAATTTTAAATTAAACATTAAATTGTGAGCGAATGAATAAAAATTAAAATTTATAAATCATGCTGAAATGCATATATAATCCTCGTTTTCTCAAAGTTACTATAAGTAAATGATTTTTTGGTAAAAAAAAAAAAATTATAATAATAATCATTATTTGCGGTCCCTGACAAGAACTCTGACGAGAAAAATCTATCTATGTCTGTGTGTCTGATGGGTCTGTGGGTTTGTTTTTATTTTTTTTTATTATTCTTGTAATTGAAGAATTCTATGCAGGTTTACACTTTCAGAAAAAAATAATGAATGCCCTGTGAAATACTACAACATTTTTCTAAAAACCAATTGCTAATTTTGTAAAGTGTTGTTTTTCAAATTTCCATATAAAGAAGTTTTCCAACTTAATTCGATTATACGTTGTATACAAATATAATTGAGTCGATTGCAACATGCTGTAACATGTTGGAAACTCATCTGAATGAAACAACCCTTGATCCTTGAACCCTATTTAAGAAATCGTCGTTAGCTTTGTTTCATTTTTTGCCAAAATTTTTGTCAATAGGTCGACAAATAATAAACGTTGTCCTTTAAGATCTTTCATATATGCTAAATAATTTGCTTATCAATAATGATAATTGGTTAATTAAAAAAAATAATTTTAAATTAAACATTAAATTGTGAGCGAATGAATAAAAATTAAAATTTATAAATCATGCTGAAATGCATATATAATCCTCGTTTTCTCAAAGTTACTATAAGTAAATGATTTTTTGGTAAAAAAAAAAAAATTATAATAATAATCATTATTTGCGGTCCCTGACAAGAACTCTGACGAGAAAAATCTATCTATGTCTGTGTGTCTGATTTCCACTCTATTTCGGAAATTGCAATTTAAAAAATTAAATCTTTTAACTAACGCTAATTTGTTTCAGTATTTGGTTCAGATGCTCCAAATCCTCGACCTTAGCTAATAGTCCAAGCAAAAAAATGATAATGAATCAATTATACTTTATATTATTTTTGTTAAGAATTCAGAGCACCACTTTGGCTTTGTTAAAATTTAAAAATGCTGTGGAAAAACTATAATTAATTTTTTTAGAAAATTTAGGAAATCAGAAAATTTGGGAAATAAGAAATGTAATGCATGAGATTTATATTCTTTAAATTTGGCACGTTTAAAAAATAAACAACAATAAAATATTAATTGTGTTAGATTGAAGTATTTTTGTTATTGGCATTAACACATTTTTGAGCAAAAGAACTAATGTTTTCTCCTGAGAGACTATTGTTATTCGAGTGTAGGAGAAGTACTATGTTTTTTGTGCGATAGCTAAGTACGCACGTTTCATCAGACACGTTTGGGGCAGTGGCAGCCGCGGTGGCTGCAACATCGCTTGCTGATGTGCACAGCTGCGATTTTTAATCAGCGATAACTTGCACACACCACAAAAAGCAAGACGTCGAATAAGTAAAGCCACAGTGTATTACAGAGAGAGAGAGAGAGAGAGTAGAGTAGAAAGAATAACGGATATTTGTGCAATGCATTCCATGGCTGACTCCTTTTCTCGTTCTCACTCTTTTCATGTCGTTTCGGCACGCTTCAACAGATTTGCCACGGATTTCATCGATGTGCGCGAGAAGGAGACGCGCCGAGGCACACGCGGGGCCGGCAATCCAGAGCGACGACGGGCACGTCTTCAACAGCAGCTACAAAAACGCAACCAGATGCTGGCTGATGATGCCGGAGCTGCAGTCGGAGTCGGAGTCGGAGCCGTGGCCGCGACCTCCAGCAATGTCAAGCCAGCTGCGGAGGCGGCTCCGCAGCAAAGTGCAGCCAACAATGCAACGACTACGGACAGCAACAAACAACTGAACAATGGCAACAATCAAACGCGCAACGACAATATGGCAACAGCATCATCGTCTTTGTCCCCATTGCCTCCTTTGGCTGCCCCAACACCTTCGTCTTCGGTGGCGCCTCCCAAGCAAGAGCAATCCGCTGAGGAGGACGATGTGGCTGGGCCGCGCATCAAGCCGGAAGATGTATTAGAGCTGAAGGAGCGCATTACAAAGGAAATACTCAATTCGAAATTGCAGGAAAAGGAAATGCTGGAATTGCAGGTGAGATGAACTGAAGCGCGCATGCAAAATCCTGATTTTAAGAAACCCCCCTACCTCGCCCCTCCACCCCCATCAACTTAAGGTATTTGCCCAGCAGTTGTATTGCCTTTTTTTAGAATTTCGTGCGGATTGTAATCAGCAGCGGCTGCGCTTCATTGTGGCGCCACAATGAGCAGAGGGTGGGAATAGTGGGTGGTGGATAGTGGGTGGATTCGGGCACAGCAGCTGTGGGTTAAATTTATAGCACGTCGACGCCTTCATCGTCGTCGCACCTTTGGGCGCAGCGTCCGACAGCTGTCAAAATATACTTCTCTTTTTTTAATAAAAAGTGCGCTCAAAGGCAGCAACCAGTTGGCTATGAGAGGCGTGCCCGAAAGGTCTGTCAAAGCTGTGCGGCAACTTTATTAAAACACTTGTACACACGCCCCTGCCCCTGCCCCATTGTGACAGCCCTGACTGTCCACAGTGTCGGTAACAAGCCAATTTTATTGCCAACAGCAGCACCTGTTACACCTGTCCGCGTGTCCAGGCGACCATGTTGATTCATGTACGCCTTTCTACCTTCCTATTGCTATCCCCCGCCCTTGAATTGTTATTTAATAAATGCAACACAAGTTAGCAAACTTTCAACAATTTTATGATGTTGTTTTTTCGTTTTTACTCGCATTTTACCGAACGTCACAACTTTGTTAAATATTTCGCACAGGAGAAAATCAATCGGGAATTTTTAAACTCCAAAGTATTCAACATGGAAAGCACTGGAAAGCAACGACGCAAGCGGAAGCGCAAGAATCAACGCGCCGTCAACGGCGAGGCGCCCACTCTCTCCGACAACGATGGTCTCTATGGCGATAATGGTGGCGACCAGACGGCTGTGGGCGGCCAAGGAGGCGGGAACAAGGCACGCAACACGGCGGCCACGGCAAAGGCTCGTAGTCTAATGAATCTGCACAACAACGAGGCGGGTCGACGGGTAAGTGCAACGAAACTTTATAAGTACAAGTAAGACTGAAAAATTGAGCGCTCCCAGCACACAGTGCCGGCGCCACAAAGTACTGAAAATTGCGCAGAACTCACGCAAATACCACAATATAAACAGCCAATTATCAATTACAACGAATTATGGGCACCAAATAAAACAAATATAAATAACATACTCGTTCAATGGGCAAACAATGGCCCCGCAGAAGGACTCCACTCTCCTGCATGTGTGTGCTCAACTGTGTATCCACATACATATATACAGTATGTACAGTATGTATGTATGTATGTATGTGTCTGCGGGCCAGTTGTGAATTGATGCTTTTTCCAGCAATAATTAGTTGTCAACTCTAATGTTACACAGTTTCCACATAACTGCAAATTCCAATTTTAAAATGTGACTGTCAACTACATTATCCGATCAAAAAAATGTTGACAGAAAAATTCAATTAACGTTGTTATTTATTACATTATACATTAGTCTGTCCGTCCGTCTGCATGAACGCAAGGATCTCGGATAGTATAAAAACTGGAATAACAAGATTTGGTTTTCCTATATCCCTAAGCCCTAAGCAGTTCGCGGGTATTGTTTTTTCTTAATACATCAATCGCCCACTTCTACTTCTTCTTGAAATTTTTAAATTAAAAAATACTTTTAAGTGGGATTGGCTACAGGGTATTTCAATATCAATATGATCAAAGCATTTGTATAATCTTGATCTATAGAGCAATAGAAGAGAGCGCATCCATAAACATACTCGCGCATCCAAAAATGCTATTTTAATATTTCAGCATGATATTGGGTATTCCTTTAAACATAGATAGCTAAAAAATTCATGTGTCTCCATTTCTTGGGGAGAAATCAACTGCATAACCAATATTTCCTTAGATCACAAAATTAGTAAAATTCTTAATAGTATTTTCCACATTTTAGAGAGTTTTCAGAGTAAAGTTTTTTAAGTTAATGTTGACTAGAGTTTTTTAAAAAAAAAAGTTTAATAAAATAATCCATGTTGCATTTAAATTATAATAGAACTATTATTTGACAAAAAAGTAACTAACAATTGAACTCCTCGGCTGATCTAAAACTAATTGGAAATTAATTAACTAGCATGCTTATTAAGAGATAGTCAGAACTAAGCCTCAGCAAGTAGACAGCCACAAATCGAAGATGATGTTATTTGTCGGAGTCTTTAACTTTATTCTTCTTGTAAGCTTACAACCACCTGCACGTTCAAATAATTTCATCGAACATGACTAAAAGAACGCCTTTCGAATATATATATATATATTTGTATATATATATTTGTGAGATGTTCTTAATGCCAAGAAATAATTTATGTGTTAGTTGGTAAAAAGGGATCAAGTATCCCATTTACCACGATAGTAACAGCCTCTACAAATTCACAAAAGGGAAATCCTTTAAGTCAAAACTGTAACTACAAGTTACCGCCAATCTTTTATAGACTTAGTAGAATGACGATTGAGGCCACAGTGCACTTGTTGAATGACAATGAAAATAACGTCCGCACTGTGTAGCTACTACTAAGGACCTTACAGGCATTTGCAGTGCTTGTCAAACTGTCAACTGGGCAACGAGTCACGAGTCACATGCTGGCTTTCGTATACAATGTGAAGTGATGGTAAAAATCTTAACTGCGTCGTAGAAGAAAACAGAAACAGAAAACCTAACCTAATAAAAGCTGAAATGCTTTTCTAGAAATATGCGCATGTCAGGAGCGAGCAGCGGGGCGAGGGGTATGTCGACGAAAAATGTCAACGAATATGAAATCCTTGCAAAATTTATGACATGCACTCAAGGAAAAGACGATGTGTGTGAGTGTGGAGGATGTGGGGCGAAGCACGCGAAAAAGAAAGGGATTTGTAGTTCACGAATTCGATTGCGCATTTCTTGCGTACTTTAGACTTTTTGCCGAAGCCGCAAACGGAAGAAAATCAAGCGCAACGAATTCGTGGCAGGCGCAGTAAGGCCACAACAAAGGATTCCGCAGCACCAGAGAAAAGTAAAAGCAAAAAGCGGATGTGTCTAGTAGGATGCCAGTAAAAGGCAAAATTCGAAATGCGAAATGCGAAATGCGCAGAGGCAAAAGCCTCGAGTCAGGCAATGATTACAGTCAGTTGACAATTTTGATTGCCTCTGGTCTATATATGTATGTGTGTGTGTGTATGTGTGTGTGTGTGTGAGAGAGATTGCATGGCGAATGCGTTGAGAGCATAAAACAAAGCGTGACAAATCGCTCGGATTTTCCGCTGTCGCGCACACAAAACACGAGCTTGAGACCCCCCCTTGAAAGCGACGAAGAAGCCCGCAAAGGACACGCAGGGCGCCTCACTGTTGCTGGATTTACGAATGCGCTGACGTGGCTGTGGTTGGATATTGGGCTAGTTTTGGGATTGGGGTGTGGGTTGGGGACACACAACTACTAACGGAGATTGTCAATGGCAATTGTTGCGTGGCCGCTAAGCCGCTTAGCTATTGTTGCTCCTGTCGCGGTGGGAGTCGAAAGCGCATTGTGACGCGACATGCGAATTACGAACGAAAAATGAATTTAATAAATTTGTTAAATTAATTTCGGCAATTGCGTTCGCACGTTATTTGACTTCTTCGCATTCCATTTCACTGGTAGAAATTACTTTCTTTTGCCAGCGACATCCGAGACATTTGACAAACAATAGCCTTGCCCCAAGATTAAGCCAACAGCACAAACAATGCATTCAAGCTCCTTGTGTCCATTTCGAGTGTGTATGCATTACATTTGTCAGCAGCAAGGACGAGCCGATGGAGAAGGAGTGGGTGTGAAGCGAAATATTAAAAATGTATGTTGGGCGACAGAGTCAGAGACACTGACTAAGTGAGCGTTTCAAATTATTTTCTAAATAAACCAACTACTACTAACTAGTCTGCAATCTGTTCTGTGAGTAAAAGTCTACAATTTCCAAAGCTTTGCATTCTTTTATAAAAATGTACAAAAAAAAAAACATTGTAATCAAAATAGCATTGGTTCTACTTATTATAAATTGAAGTTCCTTGTTAGTAGATATCTACCAGTATTGCTCCCTGTACGTAGTACATTAATTTGAGGTACAAACGAGCACATAGGGTCACACTGCCTTGTACTGTAACTTCACTGAAGTGATTTCAATGATACCCTACCATTGTATTTTTATAATTTAGCAATTAGACCAATAAATTACTTTATTGATATTGGCCTATTAACGAAATAAATAACAAATCCAGTAAAATAACAATTTTTAATCAGTGTTAATTGTTTTTTTCAAAATTGAAAGTTATATATACTGTACCCTCGCATTTGAAACAAATTTATGTTTCTTGTCCAAACATTTAAATTTTATGTTCATTTTTTAAGAATAAATTTCTGCCAGCAGTTGCGCCAAAATTAACAGCATATACATATAAAGGAATCTGATTTATAGTATTTTGGAGCATTCACTGTAGCTTTTCTTTACATTACTAGATATGTGTACTACTATGCATATAAAACAAAGCAACCAAATTGATGCAACATGCGGCAATTGTGTGACATATCAAATGTCAAATAAAGTGAAAACAAAAGGCGTGATGCGGACCCGTACGGTTGGACTGCAATGAACTGTACGAGGATAGCTTGAGATGAGGGACTGAGATGAGGCAAGGACTGAAAGGACGCCACACACACAGTGCGTGGAAAAAGCAAATGCGAAAAGAAAGACTATGCCAAACACTAAAAAACTTATACAGAACTATGCAATTTTGAGTGCGGCCAACGGCAGTGCAGGACTACGAGGCGTATGAGGAATGAAGTGTGTGTATGTGTGTGTGTGTGTGCCACAGACGATGGCAACGATACAACAACTTGCAGCCTTTGGCGTCGGGCGACATATTGCCAGTGTACACGCAAAAAAACACACAAACACACACAAGCACGTAGACAACCCTTGACAAAACATTGCGGTTGCCAAAAAGTGAGACCATTAGTTCAGCTGCTGTTGCTGCTGAAGTGAGTTCCCCGCCCTGGTCCAGAATTGCTGTCTGATAACAAATTGGTCAGCTTTTTGCGGCCAAAAGTCGCGCTAAATGTTGCCGCTGCCGCCGCCACTACACGAATTCGGCAATGCAATGGCATCGCATCCGACGCCACCATTTTTATGCTGCACACCAATGGCCAAGACAATGGCCAACTAGGGAGTCGGTCGGTGTCTGACGCGCTGATTCTCATTTTTGGCACAGCATCATTTTGCGGCAAATGAAATTATTTGTTGCAGCTTTGTCATTCCGCTCAACAGACTTGGACGCTTTTAGTTGCGACTTCAGTTGCAGTTCTCATTTTTCCTGCTACTTTTTGGCAAGCCCTGAACGAAGAGTTGTCTGGCCGAGCTGTGCATTTTTTCATGCTGATTGCGTAATTATTTCTTGTTATGATTTTGGACTCGAATCGCAGCACACACGTGACTGCCATTGCAATATCAATGGCAATTTGCTGTCAAAAAATGTATTTTTAAAGCTTTTGTTGTGGCACGACCATGCAAATCTCCATTGCCAAGAGGCTGTAACTGTGGCTCTGACTGTGACTGACTGTGGCTTTGTGGCTGCTCCTACGACTGCGAGTTGGGAGTGGCCCGCTGCGCTGACAAGCGCAATTAGAAGTTGAAATAAATGACAGCGAATATCTCATTGTTGTTAATAAAAATTGATGTCTGAATGGCGTTTGTGCGCCGTGCCAGAGTCACAGCAGGCTCGTGGGTTGGGCGTATTTATGAACAAACATAAAAATCCATTTGCATATATATTCGTACACACATACTATAAGTATTTGCATGCATATTATCCGATTTTCAATAACTGAAAAATAAATCTTTCCTGCTTTTCCCCCCGCAATCCACAGGCCGTCATCAAGAAAACGCGCATTACCTGCAAATGTCATGGAGTCTCCGGTTCTTGCAGCTTAATTACTTGCTGGCAGCAATTATCATCAATTCGAGAAATTGGTAAGTGTTGGATGTGAGATTAAATGAACAGGTAACAACGAACAGGTGTATTCTATTTCAATAAAAAAAAAACAAAAACTGTCGATCAATCAAAAAGTGGGGCTTCCATATTCGTAAAAAATTCTTCATCTGTGACAAATTTGTAGCTGGAAATGAAAATTAAATATCAAATTTTGTGTCACACACACACACATATTTTGTTAGAGCCTTAAATGCTGCAAGAAATTCCATAAAAAAGCTGCTCATAACAACAAACTTAAATTTATTGAAAATAACTAGAAGTACTCGTAATGTAGTATACACCTAATTCTGTTTTTACACGGTCTTTTTTTACAAGATTTTGATATAACACGGTTTGAAAATTAAAAATTGCATATATACATATTTCTGTAGAGATAAGGATTGAGTTGCAGTGGAAGCAATCACCTATTTTTGCATATGATCAATATCTTTTTTTAAACAGAATTAGGTGTTTATATGTTTACACGACTTTATTCCATTTCGCACGATCCAAAAAAACACAAAATAAATAAATAAAAGCACACACACAGCTGACAAACAGCTAGAAATCATTCGTATATGGATCGTTATGCACATTACATACATGTGATTTAATAAAATAACATAAATTTGAATAGGTTTTAGATTTAAGGAACCAACCACCTATTTTTGTATATGAAGAATGTTTTTTAACAGAATTAGGTGTTTATATGTTTACACGACTTTATTCCATTTCGCACGATCCAAAAAAACACAAAATAAATAAATAAAAGCACACACACAGCTGACAAACAGCTAGAAATCATTCGTATATGGATCGTTATGCACATTACATACATGTGATTTAATAAAATAACATAAATTTGAATAGGTTTTAGATTTAAGGAACCAACCACCTATTTTTGTATATGAAGAATGTTTTTACACAGTTTTTTCTGGAACCAATCTATAGCTGCTTTAAATTTTCCTTTTTTTTTTAAAATTGCGCGCACGATGTGCTTTCTATAGCAAGCAACTTTTTGTCGTGCGATGAAAGCAGTTTATAAGCAGTTCAAGCAGTGCAAGCAGTTCATATATCAAACGAATATACGATAAGCACTTTTATCGTAACAATTTTTTATATTGCGTCAAAAGCCGCGCAATATTTTTTCAAATTACTTAATGATTTCGTTTTAAATTGCAGGCGACTATTTACGGGAAAAATACGAGGAGGCCACCGAAGTGAAACTCAATAAACGCGGCCGTCTTCAGGTCAAAGATTCACAATTCAAGGTGCCAACAGCACACGATCTGGTCTATTTGGACGAAAGCCCCGACTGGTGTCGCAACAACCGCCAGCTGCAGTGGCCAGGTAGGCCATAAAATACGAATATCACATTATGTTGTTCTAATCATTTCCTTCCTGCAGGGACACATGGCCGGGTCTGCAACAAGAGCTCGTCGGGACTGGATGGCTGCGGCATCCTCTGCTGCGGGCGGGGCTACAACACCAAGAACATCGTCGTCCGGGAGCGATGCAATTGCAAGTTCCATTGGTGCTGTCAGGTGAAGTGCGACGTCTGCACAAAAGTGCTCGAGGAGCACACCTGTAAATAGAGGTCCTCCATCGATACTATACTGTCGAGATAAGCACCACTAAGCAGCAGGAGCAGGATGAGGATTATGATGAGGATGAGCAGGAGGAGGATGAATGCAATGAACGTTGCAATCCCCACACCTACATAACGTATATTATTTATTGAACCTACCGTTAAGTTGCACAATGGAAGCTTTCTTATTGTTTTTACTTAGTGTACGAACTTAGTCTCTAACAGCCCCCCAATTCTATCCCCCCACCCTCCCCTAGACTATGTAATTCAATGCGTATTCCATAGGGTCTAGAAAGTGTGAATGCAAAGATCAACTCACTCGGTGTAAAAACAAAAAAAAAAAACTAAAAACATAAGAAGAGAAATTAATTACAGCTCCAGGCATGCTTTTACGTACATCCCTCTCGGATAATAGATCGATGGCTAGGATAGGGAGACATGAACGAATACGAAATAGCATTTAAACTGTAAAATATACAACAAACATGCAAACGAACATCCACATATATAGATAGCTTTAAGCGGAACTTTTTGTTGTTCTTCATGGTTCAAATAATAATTTAAACGATTATCGTAGAAATAATAATTGTACTTTTAATGCGTCTATATCTCTACTATATATAAAATATTTAAGACGATATCAAATGTGACACATTTTATGAATCCTAATTACGAGTAGCTCACGAGCTTGCAGAAATGCCGCTAAAAAGATTCGATTACCCATACTCCGGCTATTTTGTTTGACTGTTTGTCTATTTTGATTTTCGGAAGTGAAAGTTTTCCTTTTCTCTTCATTTTTTTTTTTTTTTGGCATGCATTGAATACCCAAAATACTTATGTGTTTGTGGCTTAAGGATTCTTAGGACTACACTTATTTTTAGTTAGCCCTAAGTAGGCGCCAAGAACGGCCGATGCCCGCTAAGGACAGAAAGTCTAGGGGCAAGTGAGGTAATTATAAATCCAATACTTATAGTGCATATGTACGTAGCATTTAGTACTATATATAGCGTTTAAAGTACATACATATACTATATATATGTGTGTGTGTGCATCTGTATTTAAATTCTAAATAAGTGTTAGCTGTACGCTCTAGTAAGTGAATAACGTGGCAATGCGATTCCGGAATGTCATATGAGAATTATAAATTAAATAAAGGAAAATTGTAAATGTGAACCTCCAAACTGTGTGACTGAATTTCTATTCTTAATGGCCCCAAGACGCCAGACTACTAACTAACTTTCAAGGCAAAATTAAAATTATTCAACAGTTCACGAACAAATGGAAAATGGTCTGGGAAAACAATTTCAGAATTTTGCAGCTGTGGGCCAAAGAAATTTGCGTTTCTTATTTTCACGATCAAGCCAAGTTTCTAGTCTGGTATCTGGAATCGTTCGTGGCATTAGTAACAGCACTAGAAGTTTGTTAATCACTAAAGTAAGCACTGGGACTAAAATATGGGAAAGAGTGAAGTCGCAATCCAACAAGGCACAACGACAAATATCGAAGGCTCGATCTGGCCAAGAGGCCTTTTATAATATGAAGCAGATTTGTGTCAAATATAGAAACTACGAAGGAATTTAAAAAGTCTCAATTCTGTTAAATATGCAAATCAACTGTGGCTTACAGAAATTGCTAATGGGCTTATACCTCTGACATGCTGGCTCTTTAGCTTTAATATTAACAACTAACTTGATTCCCACTATAAAAGTAAACTCTCTCTCTCTCACATGTTTCTCCAATTTTTGTTGTCTATTCAATATTTTGTTGGCATTTTAATCCTCTATCTACATATATATATAAGAATTGAAATAAGTATGTATGTATATATCTATATATAGTTATATGTTCCGTATAGACTCCGAAACCGCCCAACCGATGTTACTCAAATTTTGTGGCAATATTCAAAATACTCCAATGGGTAATCCTGTGAACCATCGTTTTCTGGCTTATTGCTGCTCATTTTAATATGTTCGACAGTCACTTTTTACTCTGTTTGTGAGTGTTTCGTGTATAAATAAAATTGTTAAATCGAATTAAAAAAAAAATGCAGCTGAAAATTGCAATATCTTTGCGAAAGGGCATCCACATCCAGAGCCATCAAAACGAAACAAGAACGGAAGTCGAGGCTTCGTCAAATGCGCGAAAGGGTATCCACATCTGATCCAAGAAACACCAACAGGGGGGCGATGGAGATCCTTTGTACAGACGACGAAAGGTGGACGACAGTCGGTACTCAATCAAGGACCTAATCGAAGCCATAAAAAGCGAAGGACGTATTGGGAAAGATGTGACGTTGGAAAGATTAAAAAGCACCACAATGCATGAATGTTCAACGAATACGTTTTAGAAGTTAAATTAAATCAGACACAGTCTGGGCTTGCTGGCTGGGCTAACAAATAATGATAAACATTGTAAACTATGTGCTCCTCTCGCCTCGCTCTTTCAATATAAATTTCTTGTGCATCGAGGAAAAGAAGCAGTAATAAATAGGCAGATGATCAACAATAAAAAGAAAGAAAAACAATACATCATAATAATAGAAACATAAAGAAGGCTCATCCACTACGCAGCCTTTTTAATCTATTTGGGCATGTATCCATTTAGCATTCGCTTGTCTTGTAATTGTTTGATAACATAAAATAAATATGTTTTCCCTTATCTGTGGCAGCAGATTCGAACACGAAAAAGTGAAAGCAGCCGTTTCCTATTAAACAGGAAAGTCGTGGCTGATGGCTGATGGCTGATGGCAGATGAATGGTCGATTATGGAAATGGCTAAACAATAGACATAGTACTAGTATCTAGTACATATTTTTATCGCCTGATGCCCGTAATCATAGAGTGTTTCAACCAAAACCATAGTACAAGCATGCATAATGCCAGAATACATATTTGTGACTCAAATAGGTAGCCGCTTTATCAGACTCTGGCTGCCTATCAATAACAAGTCCGCTTATCGCCACGATTCGCAATCAACCTGTGCTGGTCCCAAAACGTTCGCGTTTTAATATGCAGAGATAATCCTTCAACCTGGGGCCAGAGCCATCAGTTCACAGACAACGCGTGCCCCAAACGGCTGAATACGGCATACATATATCGGTTTGGCTGCGTACTCGCGTAGGGCGAGGGATCCAAATGGCATATAGTATATATAAACAGGCGCTCTACAGGGACTTTATTTACCGTTAGTTGTGCGGGTCGCAACTCGACATTTTCGACAATGCTCGTGCCGAGTTTTCGAGCACAAGTCATCATATTTTTACTCATAGTTCTCGGGAGCTATGTCCTCCCAGTGTGTGCCGATGGCAGCGGAAACGGAAGTATTATCGATACCAACAAGCTGCTGGTGCCGGATATGCAGGAAGATGAAGTGCGTCATGCTCTCAAGCAGCTCAAGGATGCTGTTCTCAACATTAGGTGTGTATACTTTGGAAACCATACACTCAGAAAAAAAAGCGACATACTATAATATAGAAAATTGTCCCTTAAAAGCAACTGAATGCAAATCAGAGCTACTTTTGAGAAACATTCTTTCTTTTTATAATACAAAAAATGTGAATAATTTATAATAATAATAGAGCAGTCCTTGAAGCAGCTCAAGGATGCTGTTCTCAACATTAGGTGTGTATACTTTGGAAACCATACACTCAGAAAAAAAAGCGACATACTATAATATAGAAAATTGTCCCTTAAAAGCAACTGAATGCAAATCAGAGCTACTTTTGAGAAACATTCTTTCTTTTTATAATACAAAAAATGTGAATAATTTATAATAATAATAGAGCAGTCCTTGAAGCAGCTCAAGGATGCTGTTCTCAACATTAGGTGTGTATACTTTGGAAACCATACACTCAGAAAAAAAAGCGACATACTATAATATAGAAAATTGTCCCTAAAATGAAACTATGTGCAAAACAGCGACACTTTTGAGAGAAAATTTCTTTCTCTTGATAATACAAGTATTAAATAAATATTCGCTCGCCTTGGAAATTGGTAATAATATTCTTAAAATCATAAGAAATGCTTACACCAAAGCATTTATTTATTATGATTTTTTCCTGATTTAAAAATTGTTGAGCATTTAGAATTAGCACTGTAGTACAGAAAACTATATTTTTTATTTTATTTATTTTAACAATGTGAAAAAAATGATAACAATACAGAACTTATACTAAGAAAAACAAAGCCTATACAAGTAGAAATACCAAAAATATCTAATAACGAACCGACTCGATGGGGGAAACGGCCAGCTATGCCTCAATTCTCAGCAGAGAGTAGTCAGAGACGTTATTAGAACTAACAAAGAGAAAAAGAGAAGAAAAATACAAATAAAAAATAAAGAAGTATGGTGAAATTAAAATAACAAATTAAACTTTAAATATTTAAATAATAAAAGTTATAATATAAGCTAAAGCCCCGATTCTCAACAGAAATTAGTCAGAGACGTTATTAGACCTAACACAAAGAGAAAGAGAGAAGAAGAATAGCAATAAAAGATAAAGAAGTATGATTAAATTAAAATAACAAATTAAAATACTTAAATAATAAAAGACAAAATATAATTAAAAGCTAAAAAAAGGTGAAGAATCGCTGACCCGTTGGGGAAAGGTTTATTAGCCAGTCCGTCAAGCTTTAGTAATAAAATAATAATTGGTTGAAGTGAAAGGAATTTCAAGTCGATTTTCAAGCATGTAGAACTCAATGTATTTTTCTGAGTGTAGCAGCTGCTTATTGATTTTATTGTTATCGTTGTTTATCACTCTGTTCAATTGCGTACCTTTTTGCGACAGTCCCTATCTAGGCATTACCATCACCGCCGCACCGCCCAACTGTCTGCAAATGCAATGCAGCTTCGTTTGCTTCAATGGACGGCAGGATGAGATTAGTAGTGATATAGAGTACGCCATGAAGAAGTCCAACTATGTGAGTAATCGTTCACTGGCTTCTCTTGAAGTTTAAATGCGTACACCCGATATACCGATCCCATTCTTGGTTTTAGCACTGCGACACTATTAGCACGCTTGAGCTGTTCAATTATGAATTCGTGGACGCCACTATACCCATTGACTTTCTCGGCTCCTTTACCGATAGGGTCGAGAGGCTCTATATTGGCATTTCGAACGTTACGGCTGTGCAGTCGGGCGCCTTTGCAGGTGCGAAGTTCGAGACAATCATGCTCGAGGAACTGCAGCTGGAAGAGCTCGAGAAGGGATTCTTTTTGAATGTTTCGAAGACCTTTCGACAGCTTTACATCACACAACAGGAGGTGCCGTTGCGCTGCGTACACCCGGACTTCTTAAACAATGTGAAGTATCAGATCGAGACTTTGCGGCTTCAGATCGGCATCGATAGTGTTCAGAACATCACGGGCACTGACCCCGTCCTAAGCACCCTCTCCAATGTGGACTTCAGCTACAACGATTTCAGAGATCAGCTATGCTCAGACAGCTTCATCAAGCTGACCATGGTGGAACGCCTTCTGCTGTCGCATTCGCACATTGAGTATCTGCCCGACTACATATTCCAACGCATGGAGTATTTGGAGCTGTTGGATCTATCGTACAACGAACTGAAAACGTTGTCTTCCTACATTTTCGGATATCAAGAGGTCTCCCAAAAGCTGCGCACATACGCCGACTTCAATCCCTGGCAGTGTGATTGTGAGCTGCAGCGGAACATGACCCAAGTCTTCTCCTACAGTCAGCCGCAGGTTGTTTGCGCAACACCAGAGATGTACGAGAATTGGTCAGCTTTTGACAAGCGCCTATGTGAAGGTGTAGAGCCAGCACCATCAGAGGAACCGATCATAACTGAGGCGTCCGTAGGTCCAACCACGCAAATCAACACAACAACCGCCACCTCAGTCCCGACAATGGCCTCCACAACCATAATAACAACCACAACCACAACCACGCCACGTCCCACCACCTCTGAGAAAACAACCTCTTCCACTGGGGCCACTTACGATGTGCTACCACTCAAGTGCTTTACGGATAGTAGTGGACATAATGATAGTGGAAATGGTAATCAAGGCATCACCTGGCCGGCGGTGGACTTTTTCCCCATAGCTTATAAGGCGCTCACCGTTAAAATTACTTTG